ATTTATGAATTATATCAATTAGATTTTAATTCAAAAATAACTCATCAAATATTTGGACCAATCCTCAAATTTCTCATCTTCCTCCATTTGTAGCGGCCTTCTCTTTCTCCCCCTTTATTTCTCTCTTGATTCTTCATCTCTTCGCTCACACATAAAAAAAATATTTATCAATTTAGACAATTCATATAACCCAAAAATTATGGAGGAAATAGCCTCTTGTGGTGAAAAATTATATTAAATTAAATTATAATTAAACTTTTCTATGTAACTTTCAAAAATATTTTTACACGAGAGATATGGAGTACAAAGTCAATTTATGTTAAAACAATTTAACACGACCATGATGAAAATGTAGTGATTGATTGCCCACGTATTTCATTGTTGAATGTCATTACTAAACGGTACTCGTGTATGATATAAATCTGATGAGTATTTTAAAAGTTCTTATTTTTTTGACATATATGGGGTAGATACAAAATAGTATATGTTCAAAGACTCTCAATTAATTGACAATGAATGCTCACACATCATCTAGTGCCCAAATCCATGGACTCTCAACTAAGGTCAATTAGATCGTGCTAAAAGCTACTATTTAAATTAAATTATAAAGATGAAAAATTAATATTACTTAAAAGTAAATTTGAGGCAGACTAAATGGATGTGGGCCTTTAAGAGTAAAATACGTGCAACAACCTTACCGACTTTCGTTTTCTTCTGTGGACGTCAGCTTAGAGGGACACATCTTTTTGGGCCTTTAAGCATTGCAAGTAGCAAGTCAATACCCATCTGTATAATATCTCCCTACCCTTCGGTTAATTGATATTTATCTGTACGAGTTAAAATATATCTAATGAATATTTGAAAAAAAAATGATGAATTATGGTCTAATTAAAATTATTAAATTAAATTAATATATACACAATGGATTAAAATCATAAACAAACTTAAATTAGGGTTTATCTTATTTTTCTCTTTTTTTAGTCGTCGTTACTCTTTTTTTTTATATTTATAATCGACAACAACATCAGACTTTGTGCTGGTCACCGGTCACCGATATTCATTATTTTTTCTTAATAAAGTATATCTTTGTTTTTTTTGTTTTCTTTATTTTTAATAATTTTATTTTTATAGAACGTTTTATTCTAATTTTATGACACGCTTTTTTTAATGTCTTTATGACATATTTTAACCCAAAGATGTCTTTTCAAATTGGTATATCATGGAGTAAATAATATGCTAATTCCACCGTATAACACAATGGCTTAATTTCTTAGGAGATGCAGCAAATACAATGACCATCGCTTGATATCGGATGACTGCGCCTAAACAGAGATGGTGCCCTCTTGGAAGTTGCAATTAACTGATGGACTATTTTTTGAGCTCATTGGAAACTGTTTATTTGCTTTTTGTGTGTATATTGGCCACACGTCAGTGTTAGAGATGGAATTTTGGGGTATCTTTGAAGGTGTTAATATCACAAGGTGAAATGGTTTTGAGCTCTTTGTTGTGTAAACCGACAATAATGAAGCACCTTGCCGGCTATCTCTTCCGTCCGTGGATAATCCTTTCGCGCTAGTAAGATTCATTGTAGATCTATACAACAAGGTTTGGTTCATCAATTTCAAGAAGACCTATCACGAAGCAAATAAAACAACAGAGTTCATCACAAAAATGGATGCTCCCCTAGATACTTTAGTGATTATTTTTTATTCTTTTTTTGGTTTAACTGTCGGATATCTCCTATAGAGATACTTATGGTCTTCTTTACCTTCTTGTAAGATCTTAATGTAATAGTTTCACCCTCCTTTTATTCAAAAATAATAATAATATAAGCGACTGAAACATAATATTTTTAAAACTGATAGCTAAATATGAAGGAAACTGAGGGATAAATACCATTCGTATAATTTAGTGAAATAGGTGTAACTTTATTTCCTGCTCCCAGTACCATTTTTTTATGAAACAAGAGGAATAAAATACACGAATTAAAACGCTGGTGTCAAAACACAGCCAACAGCTTCTTGTTGTACAAAATCGACGACCTCCATTGGCGGAGTAGTGAAAACCATATGGACTTCGCCCCTCGCTGTAGCTAACTTCGCTAAAGTATCAGCCACCTTGTTTGCATCCTGGTGAATATGCTTCAAAACCACATTCCAATCCCGGTGTATCAACTCCTTAACACAATCAAGAAGCGTGATGATTGAAGCTCTTCTATAACTTTCCTGCAACATTCGAACAGCCTCCAAACAATCGGTTTCTACCATTACTTGCCTCTCCACAAGATTCCAAACATGAGAAAGTCCTTAATGGATACCCCACAATTCTGCTTCAACAATAGAACAAATACCGATCGCTTTAGAGAAACCAATCATCCAACCACCATTCGAGGATCTAATGACACCCCCACATGTAGCAAATCCGTCACCTATTTTTCATGAACCATCAATATTAACCTTACACCAATTGAGAGGAGGCGGAATCCAAGGATCAAACGTATTCAACAAAAGACGAGAAGATTGAGCTAATGATAAGGCTGAATCTAATGCACTACTAGCTTCACGGCTTAGTCGCCTACCACACACTAGCACAGAATCATTCTCAATGTACTCCGGGTCAAAAATCCTCCTATTCTGGTCTTTCCAAATTAACCACAAATTCGATCCAAACAATAAATCCCAATCCCCTTCTTCTCTCGCATAAAACCCCGGGAAAACGATATTAATCTATAACCATTCTCTAAGATCTCTTGTGAAAAAATCATCTAATTTTCCAGCTTTAATTAAAGATGCCCAAATTACCATGGAAGCTTGACATTGGTGAAATAGATGATCCGTTGTTTCACCTGAACTCCCGCAAATTCCACAGTATGAATGAGATGCCATATGAAGTCTTACTCTTTCCGTATTCGTAAGTAATCGATCATTCGCTAGTAGCCATAAAAAGATCTTTATCCTCTATAACCCTCGATACTTCGCTATTACTGCCCATACCTTATGCGTAGCGTCATCTTGACATTCATGCTTCAGCTCGTAAACTGATTTAATTGAGAAGTGTTGATCAACACTCCATTTCCAACCCAGCGTATCTCTTCTACCGAACTATTCGGAAGATTGGCTCTCTCAGCTTGATTTACAATATATTTTTCCAAAGGCTCCACATCTCTAAGCCAATCATCCCACCAAAAATTAACAATATGCCCATTGCCAATATTCCAAGCCAAACTTTGTCGAACATCTTGCCATACGTGAGCGATGCCCCTCCAAAGATGCGAGCTACTTGGACGATTAATGGATTCGGGGATCAAATCCACCCATTTATACTTATTTCTTAGCACTCTAGCCCACAATTGGTCGGGATTAACTACTAATTTATAAGCTATCTTCATAAGAAATGCATCATTTTGAGTGCTTAATTTCTTCATGCCAAGACCACCATTGATTATTGGATTGCAAATAGTCTCCCACTTAACAAGAGATACTCCTCCTCCGAATTCAGTACGACCCCAAATAAAACCCCGAATTAATCTTTCGATCTCATCACAAATCCCTTTCGGAAGCTTAGTAGATTGCATGAAATAAAAGGGAATCGACGATAGTACTGCTTTTGCCAATGTGATCATTCCTGCCAAAGACAACAATTTTGCCTTCCACCCTATGAGTTTATCCCGAACTCTCGAAACAATATAACTATACGATGCCCTCGTAATCCGAGAATGCAATAGAGGTACTCCAAGATACTTCCCCAAATTTTGAACTTCTTCGAACCCGAAAGCTGAGTTGATGGAATTTCTTAAATTCGATGCCACATTCTTCGAGTAATAGATGGTAGATTTCTGAATGTTTATTTTTTGACCCGAAAACTTGCAAAATAGGTCCAAGATATTCTGAATAACGTTACATTGCTCCATTGACACATCCGTAAAAAGTACCAAATCATCCGCAAAGAAAAGATGAGAGTGAGCAGACCCATAACGACATAGACAAATAGGCTTCTATTCCCCATTATTGAATGCTCTCGATATCGCATGTGACAACCTCTCCATGCACATCACGAACAAATAAGGTGAAAGCGGATCCCCTTGACGCAGCCCTCTTGTGGGAGAAAAGGAATCCGACATAGCATCGTTCCAAAGTACCTGGGTCGAGACAGAAGTTACACAATGCATAATAAGCAGTATTAGGCTCTCCGATATGTGAAGCTCTCTAATGTTTCTTCGATGAAAGGCCATTCCAGTCGGTCGTAAGCTTTCTCTAGATCGATTTTATGGCCATGTAGCCGGTCCTTCCTTTTTTTAATCTCATGGAGTGCACTACCTCTTGCGCAACAATAATATTATCTGTGATTGACCTATCCGAAACAAAACTCGTCTGGGTCTCTGATATCCAGTGGCTCATCAGAGACTTCAACCGATGCACAATAATCTTTGTAACCAACTTATATAATACTGAGCATAGACTAATAGGGCAAAATTGGTTAAAAGATTCAGGTGCTTTAACTTTTGGTATTAACGCCAAAAGGGTGCGGTTGAATTCATTATCAAACTCCCCTGCTGCAAAAATATTATGGATCAATCTACACACGCTGAAACTTACAATATCCCAATTCCTTTGGTAGAAAAAAGCATGTAGCCTATCAACTCCAGGCGCCTTTAGCGGACTCATGCTAAATAAGACGTCACGAATTTCTTCCGAGAATAAAGGTCTCATAAGGTTGCTCAACTTACAATCAGAAATTACCGGAAAACACCCCTGGACCAAGTACCCAATCTCATAATCATTGGTACTAGTGAATAACTCCTTGTAAAAATTAACCACCATCGAACAAAGCGCTTGTTGATCCGACACCCAATTACCATCTGATGTTTTGAGCGCACCAATATAATTATACCGACGTCTCATCATCGTGCATGCATGGAAAAATTTTGTGATTTTATCCCCCTGGATAATCCATTGATTTTTAGACTTCTGAAACCACAAACTTTTCTCATTTTAAAGGACTTATTCCAGCTCACTTTTTAACTTGGAATGCAACTCCTCCAATCGTCGATAATAAATCGAGTTTAGGGCCTTATCAATACCTCGTAATCGTGCCAGTAATTCATTGTTCTTCCTCCCAATATGCCCAAACACCTCTAAGTTCCATTCGGTAGCTTTGCTCTTAAATGAATTGATATTGGTTAATACATCTACATCCTTATTCCAAGCTTCCGAAATGAGGCTCTTGAATTGAGGATGATCTGTCAAGCGGCAATAAAGCGAAACAGCCTGATTCCATGTATTCTCGAGATATACTGTATTTACAGAAGGAGAGGACAATGATCCAAACCCACTCTGTCAAGGTGCAACACCATAGTACCCGAGAATGCTTCAGCCCAACAACTACTCATAAGACAACGATCTAACTGTTTACCAAGATTTCCTCTCCTTCACGTAAACGGAGATCCCCTATAGTCCACTTCGATTAATCCCATATCAAAAATAAAATCTGTAAAAGAATTATTTACTCCTGATCCACGACTAGAGCCTCCCTCCCTCTCATCAAGGTGAATGATGGAATTAAAATCACTGTTCATGATCCAAACTTCATTTTCGCCGGGAGCAAGGTTCATAAGATGTCTCCATACTAAGCGTCGTTTCTCCACTTGAGGACTCGCATAAACTGCCGTAAAATATAACCATCTAAATACTTCAGCCGACCAACATCTATCATGAATAAATTGATGCGAAATTGTTAGAATTTCAACATCAATCTCGACTTTCCAAAGAATCCAAATTCCACCACTAAACCCATGCGCTTCAACTCTAAATGAATTTTGAAAACCGAATGCCCGAATATCTTTATCTGCAGTCATTCCACTAATACGAGTTTCCAACAATACAACAACTCCAGGTCGACTTGTCCGAGAATGTTCATGAAAGTAGCATCTAAAGTTAGAGCTTCAAGCTCCTTGACAATTCTAAAATAGAAACTTAACCATTAAAGAAATAAGAAAAACCGAGAGTACACCATTACTGAGGAATATTCGGGTTAGCATTCTCACTATCTGGGAGTGAGACTTCTTCCATTAACATCACCGACTGCTCCACTGCTGGCGGGATTCCTTCATCCATTCCTTTTTCATGCACATTAGAGGAACATCATCCTTGTTGCGTTCTGCAATCACGTTGAGGATTCAACATCGCATTCCGTAACCAATCTGTCAGAATTACTGGGGAGAACTTGAAATCTTTGTTCTTTTTTTAACCTTCAGCCCCTTGATATTGTCCCCCACCTCTCTTCTATTAACCTTAGTACGATTATTCTGATTTACACCTTTGTTTCGACCATCCTCTGAAATGATATCGCCGCATGGTTTCCTCATGTGAATGCATTGTGATGTGCATTGACTTGGGGAATCTCTCCATCCTCCATGGCTACCACGTTGACCTGTTGAAATGTTTGATTGTTTCCAGCATTCACCAACCCAATTGGATGTCCCAGACTACTAGCACCCACCTCCGTTTCACCACGACTTTGTAATTTGTTCCCTTTTGCATGAGTATCTGTCTGAGAACTGCTTCCTCGACGAGTTTCTGTTGTAGTAACTTGTGGACTTTTCCTATGTGTTTCAGCTACGGCTTCCTCCGTGATTGTTGTAGAATTTCTTTCAAAATTATTATTTTCAACACCTAAGACAGCAAATCGAGAGCCTTTCGCATCAGCGCTGCTTACTTTATTAATTGTTGCAGGATTTTTCCTCATTCTCCTACAGTGCGTTTCAGCAATCATCCATGGCCCAAAACCCACTTCCTCATCACCTAAGACTTGATCCCGTTCCATACTAGTACCACTTTCTGCTCCAACCTTGCTTGTATTCACTTCTACCACTCCACAACTTTCCTTCGAATGCCCATAAACCCCATATTAGAAGCATATTTATTGCAAGCCTTCATATTCAATCTTTTGCCATAAACCATCTATCTTGAGACAGGAAACTAATGGCTTATTTAAATTTACTAACACTGCCAAACGAGCAAAGCGACCTCTTTCCCCAGAATTTGTGCTATAATCAATCTTCACGACCTGTCCGATAACCGAAGCGATTCGGCGAAAAATTGCTTTGGAGTAATATCGATATGGGAGGCCCGATAATCTAACCCAAACAATAACTTGCTATAGATGCTTTTCCATTGTGGAAAAAGTACGACTCCATGGTTGAACCGTTAGATAACTTCCGAAGATAGTCCACGGTCCTTCCGTTAATACATGGATATAGTCCTGCTCACACTCAAATTTCACCAGAAAATACTCATTCTCCAAATCGATCACTTGGTATTGTCCTTGTAACTTCCATAATAATCCAATACGATTCAACAACATTTTGTAATCGATGGCTCTTCCAAGAGGCCAAATTATCACCGAGCGTCGCATGCTATGGTCGATTCTATCGTGAACTTGATCCACAAATTGGATCACATGATACAGACCATTGTTATCCAAAATGAATTCACCATCAAGAACGACCACCTCATCCATAGCCTGGAGTGAAACAATATCTACTGTATTCATCGCTTGACCGATTACTGCATTAGCATAGGATTACTTCTCTTGTTGCCTAACTTCCTCACTTTCTTAGTGACACGTTGGTCCTCATCCAGAAAGGGTGAACTCGGTCTCTCCAGAGTCGGAGTTGTCAAAACTTCAATCTCATGAGTGATCCCAGCAAAACTACCACCGAGAGAGGGAGATGTCGATACAGCATGTATAAACTGCGATTGGTTAACAAAATCTCCACGGGGATGAGTAATGTTTTCCATAGGCGGCTAGGGTTATAATTTGAATTATATTAAACTTCTCCCAGTACCATCTTTGATGTGTGGCAAACGCAATCAACACTAGTGGAAATATTAAATAGAAGGTGCAAGAATCAAGTGGGGATATATTTTATGCCTTTCATTTGCTCGACCGATCTAAGTAGTGATCACATCATAACCACAACCAAATTTAATCAACAAATATAAAGTTATTGGATCGGGATTGAGTGAAGATCTGATTAAAGTAGGGTTAATTAAAAAAATTATTTGGGGAAATCTGGTTAATTTTTTTATTCTCTATCAGATAAAACATCCCTTTTAAATTTATAAATGTAGAAGAAATAAGGATAATATAATGCAATTTTTTAAAAGGAAAATTAATTTCAAATTTGAGATATATAGGTTAAACTTTTAGGGGTAGGCTGGCAGAGAGATTGATTCATCATTTGACTGGAAAAAAATTAAGTTCCGGCTTCTGATGAACTTCTTCCTCAACATAACTTCAATCATTTCTAAAAGAATATTCTTTCTTTACAACACATTTTTTCTCTCTTCATTTTTCATTTTTCTGTTTTATTTTATTTTTTTGGTATGAAACAAATATTTTTCATCAAAGATAATTCTCAAATTTAATAAAAAAATGTTATCTTTTAAATACTTTGGTTCCTTTTTAAAAGATTCATGAACATTAAATTTAATATAAAAATAAAAAAGAAAGTTATTATTATTTTTATTAATTAGGATAATACAAAGTAATATATGTTTAAAAATAACTCGTTACAATTTGACATTAAATGCTTACACCTTTAGCATTCACGGTCCCCAGTTCACTAGGAGTAACAAACAGCAGAACTCTTTCCTCGCTAGAAAACTGGATAGAGTCATTGTCAATAATAATTGGGTTAATTCCTTTAAGTCCTCTCATGTCGAATTTCTCGCTCCTGGTGTCTCAGATCACTGTATGGCATTGGTCTGGCTTTCAAAAGAAACTTAAAACAACAGACCAAAGCCTTTCAAGTTCTTTAACTTCTGGACTCAACATCCTAACTTCTTAAGTGTGGTCAACCAGTCTTGGAAAATTCCAATCCATGGTAATCCAATGTAGATTCCTTTCTCTAAGTTCTGAAAATTAACCTCAGGACCCTCAATCAGTCTTATTACATCAATTTTACTACAAGAGTCAACCAAAAGAAAACTGAGTTGGAACTCCAGCAAATCAAATCCTTAAATAGTGAGGATGTCATCGACAAGGTAATTAAACTCCAAACTGATCTTAAGAACCTTGAGGATGCAGAATTTATGTTTTTAAAGTAAAAGGCCAAGATTTTATGGCTAAAAGAGGGGGATAAATGTACTAAATTTTTTCACTCTGCTATTGGCCTCAAGCATGAAAGAGAAAATATTAGAATCTTGATTGATGATTAAGGTAATAGGCTAGAATCTTTTGACTCAATGTCGCATGAGGTGACTAACTATTTCTCCAATCTTCTGGGTACCAGTGATCCCGAGGTGAAAGCTTCTGATTCTAACTTGTTAAAAGACATTCTTCAACTCGCTTTACCTGCTGAAAAACTCGAAGATCTTGTTAAGGAAATCTCCAATGAGGAAATCAAAGAAGCTTTCTTCAGTCAAGAAAATGACAAATTCCATGGCCTTGATGGCTATACCCCTTTATTTTTCAAAAAGTCATGGTCTATCATTAGCAATGATGTTAATGCTGCCATGAAACAATTCTTTCAAGATTCTTTTCTCCTTCCAGCCTTCAATGCAACAATTATTACTCTTGTGCCCAAAATTCCTAACCCTGGTAAAGTTAAAGATTTTAAGCCTATCTCTTGTTGCTCTGTTTTCTACAAAGCCATCACTAAGATCCTGGTTTGTAGACTGACCAATCTTATTCCTGAGCTAGTCACTCTTAACCAAATTGCTTTTATTAAAGGTAGGAGTATTGTAGACAATACCCTCATCACTCAAGAACTGGTTAGAGGCTATAACAGGAAGAACATATCTCCTAGATGCTCCCTTAAAATTGATCTTCACAAAGCCTTTGATTCCCTGCATTGGGATTTCATTTCTGCCACTTTGAAAGCCATTGGTCTTCCTAGCACCTTTATAACCTGGATTGAACTATGTTTCTCTTCTGCTAGATATTTTGTTGCTTTCAATGGGAGTTTAATTGGTTATTTTAAAGGGGCTAAAGGTATAAGACAAGGTGACCCTCTATCTCTTTTGTTATTTATTCTCTCCATGAATGTTCTTTCTAAACTCTTAAACTTAGCAGCTGCTAAAAGTATATTTGATTACCATCCAAAGTGGAAAAGAATTGGTCTTACTCATCTTTCCTTTGCTGATGACCTCATTATTTTCTGAAAAGGGTCTATTGATTCTGTTCTTGGGGTTACAAGTGTTTTAGACATGTTCTATGAAATGTCTGGCCTTAAACTTAATGCCTCTAAATGTGAACTTTTTGTTGCTGGTATGTCCCTCTCTGTTCTTAAGGAAATCCATTTGCTAACTGATTTTAAAATTGGGTCCTTCCCGGTGAGATACCTAGGTATTCATTTAGTTACAAGGAAATTATCAGACAAGGACTGTTTGGTCCTCATTGATAACATTAAAGCTCAGTTAATCCACTGGTCTACTAAATCTCTTTCCTATGTAGGCAGATTGGAATTAATAAGAGCAGTTTTATTTAGCATCACTAATTACTGGTGTAGGCAATTATTCCTCCCTCACTCTGCTCTTAAAAAGATTGAACAGTTATGTTCCCGCTTTTTCTGGAAAGGAGCTGACAGAACAATAACTGGAGCTCGTGTAAGCTGGCAAAATGTCTGTTGCCTTAAAGTTGAGGGAGGACTCGGTATTAAAGACCTTAAGACATGGAACTGAGCTTGTATGATATTTCTTATCAAAATAATCCTTGCAGGAGAAGGCTCACTCTGGGTGGCCTGGATTAACAGTTATGTTCTTAAAGATAACGACTTTTGGAATGCAGAAATCCGACCTTGTACCAGCTGGAGTTTAAGGAAAATTTTTAATCTAAGGCCTGAAGCGTACTTCATTCTGTCCACTGCTTCAACGACAATAAGGAGTATATAAGATAATATTCGGGTAAAGAGACCCCTTGTTTTTTTGGCAGAAACTTGTTTGATTTCCCCTTCATATACCAAAACATAGCTTGATTTCATGGATGGTTTTACTTGATCGACTTCCTACCAAGGATAGACTACTTCGTATGAGGCTTATCAATGATTGCCAATGCATGTTCAGTGGTGATCCTTGGGAAAATAGAGACCATTTATTTCTTCATTGTCCTATGGCTGATTACTTGTGGAATTCTATCTTCTCCCTTTCTGGTCTCCATTATAAAGATCGCTCTTGGGATTCTTTTCTGGCATGGGCTTCCGCTACTTGGAAAGGAAAATCTTTGCTTACTTTCATAATGAAAGCTGCTCTTAATGCCATGATTTACATTATTTGGGAAGAAATAAACAAGAAATTGTTTCAAGGACGTTCCAGAAGTGCACATGAACTGCTTCAAGTCATTAAGTACATAGTTGGTATCCAACTCAGAGGCAGAAATTTAAATACCGTTGACAGTGTTAATTGTAATCTTTGTAAGCATTGGGACATTGTTTGATTCTGATTCTTTTGTGTGTAATTGTCCTGATGATCTAAGAACTATGTAAATTTGAGTAGGTTCTGCTCTTGGGTAATAAATTCAAATTCATCAAAAACAAAATGTTACTTGGTTCATGCAAATTATTATAATATATTTTAAACCATGCCGAAACTTTTGGACCATCAATTTGTCTTTTAAAAAGCAATTTTTTTATAATTCACAACTTCAACCGTTGCTTTAACAAAAAGGTAGAGTACGCCAAATCTTTGAAAAATCTATCACAAACAAGACCTAGCCAGCAAAAAATTCACATTTCGTTTTATGCAATTAATTAGGTTAGTTAATGAAGCAGCTTTTTATAATTGTAGAGGTGGACATCAAAACCAATAGCTTTTTATAATTAATAAATGTGGCTAATATCTATTTTGGCATGGAAAAGCCAAGTTAAGGGTCATAATAACTTGCAAGTGAAGAAACGAAGAGACAGAGAAGTTCCAGCTTGATGCCCTACGCATGTTCCTTTTTTTTAAAAATAAATCTCATATAATAATTGAATTTGAATATAATTAGAGATTCCTAATTATATTTTTAGAGATGAAAACTGATTTCTTCATATATATAATTATAACATTTAATCTTATAATTAATATTATTTAAAAATCAAATTTATATAACTTTATAATTACAATTTGTATAAATATGACAAGATATTTATAAGCAATTGTATTGAAATAATTAAAAACTTTTATAATTACATTCACATGTAATTATTACAATAATAATTATATTTTCATAAAATCACATGGTATATTTGAAAATTGCTCATGTCTTTACATTAATTTTTATCATGTTATATATTAATTGTTTTTATGCATCGTATTTATACTAGTTGTCTTATAATAATAGTTTGAAATGTAAAGGGAAAAATACGTTTTAAAAAAAAATTATAAAACATAATAGGAAAACAGACAACCTAAATCGAACTCGGGGATCCACTTATTAAGATTCAACTTTCCAATATTTTGTGCTCTAAGTAAATTAAATTATAGCTAAAACCCTAAAATCTATTACTATATATATAAAAAAACATATACCTAATATCGGTTATAACATAACAAATTAACCACCTAATCAATATTGTCATACCAAACATAAGTTAACGGCCCAATTTTTTTAAAAATTAAAATTATTTTGATGTCAATAATATATTAATATTAATTAAAAAATATGTATGTTTTAGATATCATACAGATTTTTAGAGTAAACACATTTGATCAGTTGGTCAAATTGTTTATCTTTATTCCCTTCCAAACCCTTAGATTATAGGTTATGGACCCACTCTAACTACTCTCATTTTTTCTCCTAATGTCTTTCATTCTCCTCACTTCTAAGTAAGACTAAGATTAAATTTAGAATTCATAAAAAATCCGTATGTTTTACTATAATAATATGCGAGGAATATTCATTATTTAATGCAATAACATATTATGTTTTATCTTATCTCATGTATAGCTTGAAATTAAATAACGTAAAAAATGTTAACGGACAAATTTGTCACTATACTTGAGTTGAAGATCGAAATTTATCATTTTACCTTATTTTGATTGATTTTTAGTATTGTGCTTTTGCATTAAAGATAAATTTACAATTACCCTAACTTAATATTAAACCCTAAAAAATTAATTTGAGTGAAAGTTGATATAAAAAAATTCAAAATTTTATTTTGAAGACTAGAATAATAAATTAATAATCCAATGAATACAAACATCAAGAATTAAAATGTTTATTCATAAAGAAAACAAAACATATTTAATAATACTTTCTTTCTTCAAATAAAAATCCCGTGTCAATTTCTGTTCTATAAATAAAATTATTGTTTATTATTGTAATTATTTTTGGTAAATTTGATTAGATAATTGATGGAAAAAATTATCATTTAAAGTGTAGGAAATTATTTTCTTAGATAATGTGATTGCTATAGTGCAAGCTATCAACTTTTTTGAATTGCTATAGTGCAAGCTATCACCTTTTTTGAAGAATAAATATATATATGAATAATTTATAAGAAATAATGATATATATATATATATATAAATATATAATTATATTTTTTTACAAATTAGTTATTAACTAGAGCTCAACATACAAAATATAAACTTAAATAAAAGTGTTAAACATCATTAACATAATAAAAAGTTTTCACCTTATATGTTGTTAATCAAAATCCAATTGTCAACAATCTTAAGAGTATGTGGTTAAAAACCTCCCAGCTGACATTTTTCCTCCTTTTAGGTTGTGGGTTCAATATTTATTAGGAGTAGAATTTCTCTTCCCTCTCCCCTAGGAAGGAATTGTTAAAAAAATCTAATTAATTTTAGGATAAACTACATCATTTATTACAAACGTTTGAGTAAGTGTATTTTTTCACCATTGAAATTCAAAAAGTTATAAAACCACCATTAACATTTTTAATTTGTAACAAAATGCTCATTCAATGTCACATCCTAATTTAGGGGCTAAAAGTTTTAGATTTATAAAGTATTATGTTCAAAAGAATTATGGAGAAAATTCACGGACATTAGTTATAATTTTCCTCCCTTGTTTATTATAAATTTAAGAGAATTATAAAATACGTTAGTGCATTATTGTGAAATGATATGAAGTAGTTGGCAAATAATGGTTCAATCATACTGTTATTCTATTAAAGAAATTGAGTACCACTCAATAAGATAAGAGATATTTGTTTTAAGTGAGGGCAGTTTGGTTTTTATTAAAAAAAAACGTTAGAAAAGAAGCTATAACTTATAGACACATCATGAACTTGTAATAATGGCTACATGCACCGCACCTTTATTCTCATTGATGATAGCACACGCCACCTCCACCTTAAATCACTCAGACCTCACTCTTTCGGTTCTATCTTTCAAGTCCAACAAGAGTTTGCTTTATCATCGTCCCTCACTATTATTTCATCTTTACGCACAAAAGAATGAGTCTGTTGCCTCCTTTTTGGCCATGAAAGGTGTTTCCTCAGGTTGGTATCTCTCTACAAAATTCAACATCTTGGTCTCATTTTGAATTGAACTTAATATGACCTCATTCATTTCTTACAAACACCCCTGACCAAACTGCCTTCTGATGGAACAAAAAAATCAAGTATCAAAATTTACCTTGACAGTGGGAGCACGAGGTGGTCGCCAGCGAGGTTGGAGGGAGATTGAGAGTTGCTCATGTCTCAACACATAACCAATTGGTTCTCGGTTATGGGATCACACCAAAAGTGTGATGCAGTCTCAATGTCCAAAAGAGTTTCAACCAGCTGATCCGAGAACAAAAGTGGAACTTCATCTCCTTAGACGGGATGAAAACTATTTTGAACCGAATAAGCCCCAAAGTGCGTTTCATGGTGTTGGAAGAACTCTTGGAAGTAACAACTCAAGCTCTACTCCTTCTAAGCCAACTGTTGCTGCCAGTAGTATTACCACTGCACCACCCCCATCTATGGGGCTTGTTATGGATTCAACGTTGCCAACAACCTCTATTCAGATAAGGTTTTGGGAGGGTACGCTCATGGTCTCACGCTTCAATTACCATCATACAATCAGAGATGTCCGTGGGTTCGTTGATGCACAACGGCCATGGTTTCGGCCGCAAAGCTTGAGCTAGTGTCAAACTTATTCTTGGTGATAAGTGTTTCAATACCCTTTGATGAAAGAGATAAGTTTATGAATGCGGTTATGATTCCAATATGAAAAATCACGTGGGAGATGTCTAGGAAAATAAAGTGGTAAATCACAAGGTAAGTCACCCAAGTTTGGTGAGATCTTTACCTTGTCTCTTAGTTCCAAGTGATTATAGTTATGACATAATAGTTTTTTTTTCAAGATCAATTTAGTCACTAATTTAAGTAATTAGCTATTCTGATGGCAACATCAATTTTCAATTTTATCAATTGAGTCCTCAAATTATTATTTAGATTCTAATAAGTTATTTTTTTTAGGGCAAGAGAAATTATTTGGATACGAGTTAGTAATTTTAATGGCCTGGATCGTTAGGAAAATATTGGAAGTTGAATTAAAGATCGAGGGCGTTCAAATGGAATTTAAATGGTCGACCAGTATGGCACGGAAAATCGAGGTAATACTTTACTACCTCTTTATGCTTTATGGAACATGTGAATATTGGTAAATGCATGAATATGATAAAATTGGTCTCATACATGTAGTTAAGTAATTTCTACACTCGATCAGAATACGATAAAAATTCGGTAACTGATTATGGTTCAGATGACTTTTATAAGAAATTGATGGATTGTTAGAATTAAAATTACAAGTTCTGTGGTTAGTGATAAAAGAATCATCTTGGATATGTAACATATAAATTATTTCATGAAAGGTACTTGGATGGGAAATTATGAGAATATTCTGGTAGGGTAAAATTATAGAAATACCCTTATATTGTAAGATGACAAGAATTATCCCTAGAAGATGACTGATAACTCTGAAAGGATATATTGATCTGAGAAACTAAAGATGTGCATAAGAAATACTAGTTTGCTTAGAAAATTTGGATAACCGGTGTCGAAACGATTTTTCTTAAAGGTGAAAAGGTGAGATTTTAAAAACCACATTAATTTTTAATTTACCTCTTTCAACTGATTTTTAATTTAAAAACAAATGCGATTTAAAAACCTCTCGTTTCGAAAAATTTTGGATTTCCTTTACGATAGAAAAAAAATACAGTTTAAAGAGTCGCCACCAATCTTTGATTAGGGTGTGATTGGGCACCCAAAATTGTTTGTTATTTTAAATAAAAATTAATTTTTATTAAAACAACAAATTAAGGTCTGCGTTATCAAAATCCGAGTTCGGGAGTCGGTTACGTGCAGGGAAGGATTAGCACCCCCACAACGCCCTAAAACGGTACCTAGTCGATTAATTAACGTCTTTGCAATGAACTTTACAAATTTGAATTTAATTTGATTTATGATCCCCGACAAAACAATAATATACATATTT